TCTACTCTACTCTACTCTACTCTACTCTACTCTACTCTACTCTACTCTATTCTTTTCTATACTAGTGTGACAGGTTTTGTGATGGGTCAGCTGTGAGTCATCAGTGAGTCTTGTGATGGGTCTTGTGATAAGAAGATTACCTCACATCAAGAACACTGGGAGATGAACTGCTGTTGGGGGAGGGGTATTGCCTGGGTTGGTTGAGGTTGGTGCTGTTTCTGGTTGGCTGTGCAGTTGATTTGGATTCTGAGGGGTTCATAGGCTGGTTGTAGGTCAATGTGCCTGTTGATGGAATTGCTTGTGGAGTGTGAGTCTTCAATGAACTCACAAGCGTGGCAGGTGGTAGCGGGGCCGATGGTTTTGGTGTTGCTCCAATCGAACTGGTGCTGTTTGGTGTCAGTGTGGGACACCAAACTGATCAAGTTATCACCAGGTCTTAATTGTACTTCAAAAGAAAATGATACTCATTTCCTAATTTTCATTCCTGGGGCAGATCTCGAGAAGTTATCAGTTTGAACTTCAGAAGCAGAGAATGGAAAGTTTTAAAAGGGGTCTTGGAGATCTTCTTTCCCAGCCTCTGCCCTACACAAAAGTTCACTTTTGGTATTCCCAAAACATTACCATCTAGTCTCTGTGAAAATAGCTCCAGCAAAGGAAAGTCTACCAGCTCACAAGGCAATCTGTCCCATTATGGAACTCCTTGTACCATTAGTGAACTCCTCCAGTTCATAGGATATAAGATGACAGTGAAAATCTTTGTCTTTTTTTAAAGACTGGAAATCTGATCAATCATCAATCAATCAACCTTTATTGTCAGAGTACAACATGTGTACAATGAGATTGGCTCACTGAGTCTCTAACCCAGTGAATCCTACTAACACACAATCTTATTATACTATGTGTCACAATGTGCCGGCCCCGCAAGTCTATGTTGACTTGAAGTTATTTTCTGTTCAGGAGTCTGACAGCCCACGGGTAGAAACTGTTCTTCAGCCTGTTAGTGTGGCTGGCTATGTTTCTATATCTCCTACCCGATGTTAGGAGAGTAAAGAAGTGCTGACCAGGGTGTGAGTCATCCCTGAGTGTGAGTTTGATATGCAATGATAAGCAGAATGCACAGAATGAACATTAGAATGTTCTTGTGCTGCACTGTTCAGTCTTTCATAGTTTCTAAAGAGGTGCCAGTTATCATAATAACAGAGTTGGATGGAACTTTGGAAGTCTTCTAGTCCAACCCCCTACTCAGGCAGGAAACCCTAGACTATTTCAGACAAATGGTTGTCCAATCTCTTCTTAAAAACTTCCAGTGTTGGAACATTCACATCTTCTGAGGACAAGTCATTCCACTGGTTAATTGTTCTCACTGTCAGGAAATTTTTCCCTAGTTCTATGTTGCTTCTCTCCTTGATTAGTTTCCATCCTTTGCTTCTTGTCCTGCTTTCAAATGCTATGAAGAATAGGTTGATTCCCTCTTCTTTGTGGCAGCCCTTTAGATATTGGAACATTGCTTATAATCTATATGTTGTTTTCACATTTTTCCCAACAATGTATGCATTTTTATCCAATATTTTATTTGCTTTTACACATGTCCACCACATATGATAATATTTTTGCTGGGCATAATGTCTGAAAAGTATGATAAAGGGAACCTATACTTAATATTATGTGTTTTGACAGCAGCAAGAATTGTATTTGCACATTTGTACTGGAAAAGTGAGGAAACACCTACAGAGGATGATGTAATAAAAAAAATAGATTGTGCAGAAATGGACAAATTGACAGTAAAAATAAAAGAAAAAGAAGATACAGAGTATTTTAAAACATGGGACTTGTTTTATAAATGGTTGGATAGCAGAGGTAGAAATTAGGAGTGGGGAAAGTATTATTATATCTAAATAAATTGTTCCAGACAATATGCTGTTCACTAAGCACTTAGTATGTAATGTGAAAATATATAAATAAATTGTTGGAAAATTGATATCATGTCATCCCTAGTTTTTCTTCTCATTAGACTAGCCATGCCCAGTTCCTGCAGCTGTTCTTCATATGTTTTAGCCTCCAGGTTTAGAAGTCAGCTTTATCTATACTACAGCTGTATTTGTACAATTTGTACAGCAACTGGCCCAGTAAAACATTTTTCCCATTCAGTTTGAAAGCACTTATGTAAATATTTTAAGTGACTTGTGATAGCTGAGCTTCAGGACTATTCTCTTAATTTACTTTGGTAGGAGCTTGCAAGAGTTCAGTCCTGAATATAAATTAGTACCTTGGTGTAGTAGAATAGAATTAGAATAGAATAGAATTCCTTTATTGGCCTAGCGTGATTGGACACACAAGGAATTTGTCTTGGTGCAAATACTCCCAGTATATATAAAAGAAAAGATACATTCGTCAAGAATCATAAGGTACAACACTTAATGATAGTCATAGGGTACAATAAGCAATCAAATCATACCAGGAAACAGTCAATATAAATCATAAGGATACAAGCGACAAAGTTACAGTCATACAGTCATAAATGGGAGGGGATGGGAGATAAGGAATGATGAGAAGATTAATAGTAATAGTAGTGCAGACTTTGTAAATAGTTGGACAGTGTTGAGGGAATTATTTGTTTAGCAGAGTGATGGCATTTGGGAAAAAACTGTTCTTGTGTCTAGTTGTTCCGGTGTGCAGTGTTCTATAGCATCATTTTGAGAGTAGGAGTTGAAACAGTTTATGTCCGGGATGTGAGGGGTCTTTAAATATTTTCACAGCCCTCTTTTTGACTCATGTAGTATACAGGTCCTTGATTGAAGGCAGGTTGGTAGTATTATGCAGTATACAGGTCCTTGATTGAAGGCAGGTTGGTAGTAATTGTAGTAATAGGTGAATTGGATCTTGATACCATCTACTTCATCATTCTGCCTAGTGCAGAAACCAACTACTCCAGCATCTTGGGAGAAATGATTGCTCAAACTAATAAGACCATATCCTTTAAACAATGCCCTGAAAATCTTTTCCCCACACTTCTTTTTCTTACTAGGTCAGTTATGGTTTTGTGTCTGAAACTCTGAATGATAAAACCAATTTCCCATTCATCTACCGCATAGTCCCCAAAGAAGAATACTTGTATTGGGGAATTGCCAAAGTGCTCCATCATTTCAGATGGAACTGGGTCGGTCTTCTAGCACCAGACACTGACAATGGAAAAAGATTTCTCCGAACTTTGAGGCCCATATTAACCAGAAACACAATTTGTGTAGCCTTCTCGGTGAACATCCCAATATTGCCCTGGAAAATGAGGCTATTGTTCAATGAACCATTTCACTTGTGGAACAATGTCAGTGTTTTCATATATTACGGGGAACACCGTCACTTGTATTCCTTGATAAAAGCCTTACAATCCTACATTGAAAGGCACATCAAGCCCATCCTGGCAAAAGTTTGGATCACCACAGCAATGTGGGACCTCACTCTGAATTTATCTGACAACATACTGTCTCCTCAGCACCTCCGGGGTTTTTTCTCTTTCTTAATCCATACTGAAAAAAGACCGCAAGTTTCAGAAACATTTTTTGGCATGATGCAAAACTTTGGCAAAATGGTGTTCAACTGTTCATATTCCAGACACCTCTTTTCTGTGAAAGGAAGGGTGAGGTGCCAGGAGAATGAAGAATTGAAGAACCTGGAGGAAGAGGTGGTGGAAAAAACCTTCTCTCTGGACAGCTACAGTATTTACAACCTTGCCTGGGCAGTCGCTCGGGCTTCACACGATGCCTACTTATCCAGGTCCAAGCAAAAAGCAAAGAAGAAAAGAGATCACAGGCTGGTCCTTCAGGCATGGCAGGTATTTGATTTCCTTTAGAAAGCCTAAAGGTACGATTTCAGATTTCAAAGACATTTTAGATTGTGTGAGGAAGTTAAGATTTTAATTGTCTTCTTCCATTTTATGAGGTTACTAGGGTAGGAAATCCTCCACTCCGTCCCATTTTTTGGATTCCTGACCTGGAGTTCCATGGCAGGGTATCCATGACTTGATTCTACTACATCACTGAATTGTTGTTGCTTTAAATCAAATTGATTTTTTAAGTTTGATTTTTATTAAGGTTTTGTTTTATTATATAAAATATAGAAAAGAGAAGGAAAAAATAGGAAATTAAGGGAAGGAAGCGGAGCAGGGAAAATGGGATGTGAGATACCAGGGGAAAGAGAAAAAGAAAAAAAAGGCATTGACTTCCAGCTCTTCTTAGCACAGTACAAGATAAAAACACTCCAATTTCATTTTTTTTATTTTACACAATATATAACTAGCCATTTCTATAACCACAAATCTTTCTGATTGACAAAATGAAAGTCAAAGTTTCAAAAACTTTTATTCACATGCAGGACATCCAAATAAAAACATATTTTCCTCTTTAAATAAAATGGTGACAGTTTACAAAGATTATTAGGTGCAATAGAAATACACATTATTTTCATAGCACGCAAGATAAAGCAGGATTGGTTAAATTGATATTTTATTTAAAAAAAATATCAGTCATATGCCACCCATTTCTGTCTGCAAAACAACTTTGGGCAGCATCTAAAACATCAGTAGCAGTGTTCCAACATCTCAGGGGCTGCCACAAAGAAGAGGGAGTCAAGCTATTCTCCAAAGCACCTGAGGGCAGGACAAGAAGGAATGGATGAAAAGTAATCAAAGAGAGAAGCAACCTAGAACTGAGGAGAAATTAATCAGTGGAACAGCCCCTTACTGGAAGTTGTGGGTGCTCCAAAGGTAGTATTCAGCAGGTTCTGACCAGTTCTGGAGAACTAGTAGCAGAAATTTTGAGTAGTTTGGAGAACCGGCAAATGCCACCTCTAACTGGAGATTTTACAGTATCCTTCCCTTGCCACGCCTACCAAGCCACGCCCACAGAATTGGTAGTAAAAAAATTTGAATCTCACCACTGAGTATAGGGTTTCCTGCCTGAGCAGGGGGTTGGACTAGAAGACCTCCAAGGTCCCTTCCATCTCTGTCATCCTGCTATCGTAAAGGCAAGGAGTGGCTAAAATTTGCCTTCTATCTCTCTGACGACTTCCATCGCTATGGAGAGCTTTGTAGCGGAATTCAACTCTACTTGTAGAACATCCTCTTCCTTCATATTATTGTTGTTTTTTCTGCCATTGTAGCTTCATCCTTTCCTGGGAGATTCCCACTTCTACAATACTTGCATGGATGGAGTGTATCTGGATGAGAAGGGGGACCTTGCTGCCAGATTTGATGCCATGAACTGGGTGCTCTTTCCTAATAAGACCTTTGGGGCTGTGAAGTTTGGGAGGATAGATAGACCAGGGAGGTCCAAAGACCTGGAATTCAGCCTTGACCAGGAGGCCATAAATTGGTCCCGACGGTTTAACCAGGTTAGTTGAGGCTGCTCATCTAATGCCCTCCAACCTTTTTTTCATTCTTCCAACTAGTTGTGAAGTGGATAGCGTGTTGCTGGAGCTGGGTTGAAGGATTGCTTGGGATCTTTTTCTTTCTCAAAGATTTTGTTGGGCTCCTTGGATTAAAAAAAAAAAAAAAAGAGCGGGCCATGGATCACAGAATGGGAAACTTTGTGTCATCATTCCAACTAACCAACTCCAAACCAATAAATTCCAAGACAAACATTTCCTCAAAGTTCCATTTTATTAGAGTTGTCATTTTGGTACACCTGGGAAAATCTGAATCTGAGAGTTCCAGGTTTTCCCTACCCAATAGAAATTCAAAGATCCATCCCCTGCACCCATCAGTCCATCACATGGCCCAATCAAACCTTCGTCCCAACTAGAGACATCCCTCCAGACACTCCCCTCCAGGTTCAGGGAAACTTGTCCTTGACTCTCCTCCCCTCCCAAATTCCCAGGCACTGAATGTGGCACCCTTAAAGCTCCCAAGTAAAATATGGCTTCCAAGACTGACACTTTGGTCAAAAAGTCTATGTGGTTTATCCAGATTCAGATGCTGGTTGGATCTTCTTCCTTCTGTTTTGCTTTATAAAGCAAGCTGTGATTGGATGATTGCTGTCAGCAGCTTAAGAACAAAACTGCCTGTCTTGGCTGAATTGTAGTTAAAAGCAAAGTCAGGAAGGTCAGGATGTAGAACTGAGAATTCTATAACATTTAATCCTGGAAGAGATACATAGTATGCTGAATTCACATTTCACAACCATAAAATGGTTGATTTGATTCTGGTTAATTTATTGACAAACCCAATTATTGTGTTTATAAACCAAGGTAGACATTATTTAAGGGACGTGATGGTTCAGTGGCTAAGACGCTGAGCTTGTCAATCAGAAAGGTCAGCAGTTTGGTAGTTCGAATCCCTAGCACTGCGTAACAGAGTGAGCTCCCGTTACTTGTCCCAGCTTCTGCCAACCTAGCAGTTCGAAAGCATGTAAAAATGCAAGTAGAAAGATAGGGACCACTTTGGTAACAGCATTCTGTGCACCTTCAGCGTTTAGTCATGACCACGGAGATGTCTTCAGACAGTGCTGACTTTTTGGTTGAGCATTGCCCCCTAGAGCCAGAAATGACTAGCATGCATGTGCGAAGTGGACTTTTACTGTTAGACATTATTTGGCTTAGATTCCAACTTTTCTCCAGAAATTTCCTTGGGTAGGTTTGAACTTCCTCCTTCTCAATTCTATTAAAAAATATCAACCTCTGCCCCACCCTGACAACTCTACACAATTAGCTAACTGTGATTAATTCAATAACAATTAAAGAATACTTGGTTTCATGTAATAGATGAATTGAGACATAGCTATTGAGATATGTCTCATCAACCTGTGTCCACCAATAGGCCTTTAGGAGAAAATTTCACAAATTAACAATGGTCCTATTGAAGATGATATTCCTTTCATTGCCCCAGAATCTCCTTCCTGCCTCCTTCAAGATGCCCACTGATTTCCATGTGATGGCTAAGCATCCTTCTGCATATCAGGCAATATATAGGACAATATAGGAAAAGAAGCAATGCATGGAAACTCAAATCAAAGAGAGAAGCAACCTAGAACTAAGGAGAAATTTCCTGACAGCTAGAACAATTAATCAGTGGAACAACTTGCCTCCAGAAGTTGTATATGCTCCAACACTGCTGTTTTTAAGAATAGATTGGACAACCATTCGTCTGAAATGGTATAGGGTTTCCTGCCTGAGCAGGAGGTTGGACTAGAAGACCTCCAAGGTCTCTTCCAATTCTATTATATTTATTCTGCTTTCCCAGCCCCACCCCTTCTTTGAACACTGAACTTAATGCTGCATTGAGAAATAATTTTTTCCAAACTCCTGCTCAGCATGGGATTCGCTAAATCATCTTTGACAGGTGATTATCCAGGCTCTCTTTGAAGACTTCCAGCAAAAGTACCGACCATCTTAGTTGCGCATATCCTAAAAAAACAAAAAGCCAATGTAAACCCCTTCCTTGACAGAAAGAGAAATGGGGTAGGGATGAGCCGACCAATTAAACAGATGAATGTCTCATGACGGTGGCAATACCCAACCATTTTAATGGTTTCTTTTTTCGATCAGTCCCTTCCTCACTCCAGGTGCACCACAAACTGTCACCCTGGCCAAGCCAAGGTGGTCTTGGAAGGAAGGCCTCTTTGTTGCTATGGATGTATCTTGTGCGCCAAAGGAACCATCTCCATTCAGGAAGGTAAGAGACACCAAGGGGAGAGGCAGTTCTTGAAAGATGGGAAGAACAGTCCATGAAGTATTTCCATTCAGGAATATTTGGAAGCAAACATGTAAGCCTTGAACAAAGTGTCTCATGGGTGATGGCAAAAACCCAGTTATTAGGTAAAGAGAGGAAAACTAACAATCTAGATTGAAAACCTCAATAAATATGAGACAGAAGCAAGAGTTCATTTTTGTATATCATTTTTAATATTGAGTTGTTGTCTACATTTATGCAGCCCAGGTCTGGTATGGAATGGGACAACTCACCGCAGAACAACTTGCTGTGGGACAATTCAACAAATGCAAAAATTAATTTTGACAGAACCGTAGCCAATAATAATAAAATTAAAAAGTGAATTAAAAAAAAAACAAGAGTTACAATAATTTGGATGAAAACATGGTCACCAATAATAAAAATAACTGAATGAAATGATTAATACAGCATTGAATTGTCCTGCAACAAGTTGGCCTTGGCACGTTGGCCATGGCAAGTTGGTCATGGCAAGTTGGCTGCAACGAATTGTCCTAGACCTGATCTGGTACACATGGCAACATTTGGTAGAAAAGCTGATTAAGTAACCTCTGTCTGTAGGAGCCTGCCTGTTGAAGACTGGCCCAACTCTGCTTCTCTGTTGAGAGATTATATTATGCCTTCCATGAATACAAAAGAAAAGTATTTGCTTGAAGAACTGATGAAAGAACTGTCCCTGAACAGGGGTCCAAAGAGCCAATTCCTCAGGGTGTGCCCATTGTGTGAAAAAAAATCTGCCATTTAAATAATAGGTAATAAACAACGCAAATACATCAAGGACACCATTCACTTACCTGGAGCTGAACAACCATAAATCTATAGATTGCCTTGCTTTCAAAATATCTATAGAGAAGAGCCACAGTGGCACAGTGGTTAGAGTGCAGTACTGCAGGCTACTTCTGCTGACTGCCAGCTGCCTGCAATTTGGCAGTTCAAATCTCACCAGGCTCAAGGTTGACTCAGCCACCGATCCTTCCGAGATCAGTAAAATGAGGACCCAGATTGTGAGGGGAAATATGCCAACTCTGTAAACCACTTAGAGAAGGCTGTAAAGCACTGTGAAGTGGTATATGAGTTTAAGTGCTAAGTCTATTTATACCAATGTAGAGAAAGCATTCTATAAAAATAAACATCTGTCACCTCATCCTCACCTCACGAAACATGTATGGCTTACTGAGACTATGTAAATCACTGATGGTAGGCTGGATTGAATTGCACTCAACATATGTTGAAAATCATTAGAATTAGGGGTCTCCATGGGTGAAGAGGAGGCAAAAGATCAAGATAATGGGCATAAATCACCCACCCACAAATCACTTTCTTGACTCTTTGTATACCCCCTTTTCTCAGATGTCGTTCGTACTATCTACAGCACTCTCAAAACGTATCCGTGTAAGTTTCTCAACCAAATCCCATCTAATTGATCCCACTGGCTGAATCTGATTCAACAAGGTCATGAAATAAATATCTGCCCTGTGCATCCAGATTCTCAAGAAAGGATCCCCATTAGCACACCAGACAAATCTTTGAGAAAGGAGTATGCTTGAGACAATGGAGTTCTCAACTGTTAGGATCTGGATTTGTATAATGTTGAGGGTTAAGCTGTCTGGTGATATAGATCTTAGGAAGCTCTTCACCTTTTTGGGACCTTCCTTTTTACTCCAGCCAGCTTATTTCCACTCCTGCCTTCACCAAGCATATCCTTTTTGTTAATCTTGACTGGTTTCCTTCATTTTTACTAGAGAACTTTCAACACTTTTTTCCCCTTTACAGATCTGGAATTTTATTGTAGCCATAATTTATCATTTGTAGACAGTAAGCAAAAAAAGGAGAGCTTTATTATGATCATGTAACATTAATATTTGAGGTCTTGCCTGTCTTCTCCCCAGATGCAGAGAAGTGCACAAGATGTCCAAAAAATCACCATCCGAATATAGGCCAAAATAAATGCATCCCCCAAAATATAACCTTCTTGTCGTACAAAGAAGACCTGGGAATGATTCTAGCTTCCTTTGCCATCTTCTTATCTTTGGTCACTGTCTTTGTCTTAGCAATCTTCATCAAATTCTTAGAAACTCCAATAGTCAAGGCCAACAACCGGGACCTCTCCTACCTCCTCCTGGTCTCTCTCCTCCTATCCTTCTTGACTTCCCTCCTCTTCATTGGTCCTCCCAAGCCAATCACCTGCCTTCTCCGACAAACCTCCTTCAGCACCATCTTTTCCATTGCTGTCTCTTCTGTCTTGGCTAAAACTATCATGGTTGTGCTGGCCTTCCTGGCCACAAAGCCTGGGAACTTTGTGAGGAGATGGCTGGGAAAGACTCTGGCCAACTCCATTGTCCTTTCTTGCTCCGGTCTCCAAGTTGTCATTTGCATCGTCTGGCTGGGAGTTTCTCCCCCATTCCCTGAGTCTGACACACACTCTCAGACCAATCAGATTGTCCTGCAGTGCAACGAAGGTTCTGTTGTTATGTTTTATCTTGCCCTGGGCTATATGGGCTTCCTGGCTGCCATCTCCTTTGTGGTGGCTTTCCTGGCCAGGAACTTGCCTGGGGCCTTCAATGAAGCCAAGCTGATCACCTTCAGCATGCTGGTGTTCTGCAGCGTCTGGGTGTCCTTTGTGCCCACCTATCTGAGTACCAAAGGGAAGTACATGGTGGCTGTGCAGGTCTTCTCCATCTTGACCTCCAGTACTGGACTGTTGGGATGTATCTTCATCCCCAAGTGCTACATTATTATTCTGAGGCCAGGTCTGAATACAAAGGAGCATCTAACAGCAAACAGTAAAGATGGCTTGAAAGTGAATGCAAAATAGCATGACAATTGTCACAACCTTCTCAAAATTGTTTGAGAAGAAAACAAGTTGATTCCCTCGGCATATTCCAGAGAAGTTAGCTTTGTTAATTTTGTTGGTAGCATTCTATGTTTCCACCACTGGGGGAAGTGCATATGATCAAATGTCTCTAGAAGTCTATAAGGGCAGGTTTGCCTAATTTTGCCCTCTTTTGGGGAAGATGGACAGTGACCAGACCTTTATTTTCACACCCTCCACCCAACAGCTGATCTAATGGTCCACTACGAAGGCAACATTAAAATGTTAAAATACTTTTCAAACATTAAAATAAATACTCTTTCAAACATTAAAACTTAGTTCATCTGAAAGCATTGTTAAATATTGATTGGATTCTATACGTTGATATAGTTCTGGGAGAAAATCAAGTATGTAAAAGTGATGTTGAATATGGAAGGTGCCATCTTATGAAGGTCTTGTGACTCAGCCAGGAAAATTATTTCATATAGATGGAAACAGGAAACAAATATTTCTCTGCTTCTAAGAATTGGAACCAAAATACAGTATGTTGTGATCAATTTTTTAAATGTCTTCCTATTCCAAAAGTGAAATGATGGAAGAATATGTTTCTGTATGGTCTGGATGTAATAATAAATTGAAGGACTACATTAATGTTATACTAAAAATATATGAATCTTATTTTTCTCTTTTTCCAAGTTATTTCCCCTGCCCATTTATTCCGTTTCTTTTAGTTACTATAACATATATGTACTTGTTTTGTACAATATGTTTTATTGTAGAAGGTCTGACGTATTATATTTTTCTTTCTAGTGTTCATTATATCATGGTGCTTGTGTTGTGTGTGTGTGTCAGAGGTGGTATTCAGCAGGTTCTGACCAGTTATGGAGAACCAGTAGTGGAAATTTTGGGTGGTTTGGAGAACCAGCAAATACCACCTCTGACTGGAGATTTTACAGTATCCTTCCCCTGCCATGCCTACCAAACCATGCCCAAAGAACCGGTAGTAAAAATTTGAATCCCACCACTAGTGCGCACACACATGCACTTTAAAGTACACATATAGATTGGGAGAAACCAGGCTTAATAGCATTAACTGTGAGAGGGTGTCAGGGTTCTGATGGAAGCCCTATTCATGAGCCTCAAGCCAAGTTTCAACAAAAACCCAATTCTTTATTAGGAGCAACATGTTGGCACTTTTCCCAAGTCCAGTCAGCTCTGCCCTACGTAATTTACTGCCCACCTATGACCCTGTTTCCCCCTTCCTCCCAGGGTGTGTCATAAATCACTCTCTCCAATGGAGCACTTCTCAGCCAGTCTTTGAAAACCGGGTTGCTTAGATTGGCTTTCAGAACTAAGAATATTTGCTGGTTTAATGAGGCTAATATGAAAAATTGGATGCACCTTTCTAAATCTTGAGGGTAATTTTAATTGTATTGCGACAGGGTTGATTATTTTAGTCACTGGAAATGGACCAATATATTTGGGACCCAGTTTCTTGGATAGCAACTCCAAATTTAGGTATTTTGTGGAGAGGTACACAAGGTCCCCAATTCTGAACATTTTATTCCTTCTCTCATTTTAACCTTCTCTCAGCCAGTCTTTGAAAACTTGCAGATTTGCACACAAACCACAAACCACCATGCAGAGCAGGAAGCAGGTTTCAAGGGGTTTTAATGTCAAACAACAAATTTTCCATCCTACAAGAACGGTATTCCAACTGGTCTAGGTTAGCACTGGAAGCCTTACAGTGTTATTTAAAGGTATAAACACACCCACCTAAACGCTTCTATCTCCTATCCACGCCCTTAATTATTCCCTGAATCACCTCTTATTCCCATCAATAAGTCTACTATTTCCTTCCCTATCACCTATCCATCGCTCATGATTTCTATCTCCTCGCAAGTAAACTAAATAGTTAAACTTCACACCCCCATCGCCTGTTCCTTCATCACAGTTGCTTTTTCAATTCAGCTTTGGCAGAATCATTAAATTAAGTCCAACAATCCATCAAACACAGACAGGAGTTTCCTTTCAAGTTACAGATGACTGAGGAGCCCCTCGCAGGTCATGATTCTCCCACACTACAGCTGTTGCAATTACCTGGGAGTATCTATCATCAGCAGTGTTCTGATGATATGGTTCCTGCAAAGGTGCTGACGGGCTCAGATCATCTATCATCCCTAACGGAGCCCGACAGCACTTTTGTGGGCTGTAGAAAACATGCCTCTCCAGCTGGCTCTGGTAACCTGAGACACAATCTGGTAAAAGGTATGTGTGGAATGCGCTTCTGGTCATAGCAACCGAACTGCTCCCATCAGATCTCTTCCCCCCCCTCCTTCTTAGGGCAATTCAAGCAAGCCAGGAAAGCTTTACGAGTTGACAGAGGATCTTGGAGTCTTAGTGGACAACCAATTAAATATGAGCCAGCAGTGTGCAGCAGCCAAAATAGCCAATGCAATCCTAAGTTGCATTAACAGAGGATTTCAATCAAGATCATGTGAGATATTGGTACCAATATATAAAGCCAATATATTAAGACCACTTCTTGAATACTGCACCCAGTTTTGGTCACTACACTATAAAGAAGATGTTAAGACTCTACCATTTCCGACAGGTGGAAGTTCAGTCTTTTCTTGAAAGTTTCCAGTGATGAAGCTCCCACAACTTGTGAAGGCAAGCTGTTCCATTGGTTGATTGCTCTCACTTCTGACAGTTTTTCAGTTACAACCATTCCAGCAACCCCATGGTCAGCTCTTCCTTTCGACAATGGGATCTCCACACAGAACTCTTTGCAAGCTCACCTTCTGCCCAAACTAAGGGAAAATGGATTTATGTGAAAGTTGAAAAGATAAGGATTACTTTTTTCTCCACTCTCCCAGCTATTTCTAAAAAGAGAGAGAGGAGGAGCTTAGGAAATAAAAATGGCTTCCAGAGGTAGTCCTCGAATTACGGATCCTTTTACGCAGATGTGATATTTGGCTTTTGACTGTCAATGATTCATAATGTTGCCAGTTTGATACATATAATGTAAACTTCCACTTAAAAGAATTTAACAGCCAAGACGATCTACTGGTTAGGGAATATCACGGAAGAAATAAAATATATTCCTTCTAACTAGTTAAGTGAGACATTTGTTCGGTGAATTTTGTCCCATTTTACGACCTTTCTTGCCTCAGTTGTTAAGTGAATCAGTACAGCTGATACGTTAGTAACCCAGTTGTTAAGGGAATCTGACTTTTCTCCACTGACTTTGCTTCTCAGAAGGAATCAGTCCCACTCTTCTCCCCTCAACGTTAACAGTCTTCTGACAACCTTTGCCTCTCAAATCCCTTCAGGACTCCTATGTTTCTCCCCGGGGGAGTTTTTTCTCTTGCTCCCCAATTTCTAGCGTCACCCTTCGAATGAGACTTTGGGTCCTGCTCGCCTTCCCTCCACCACAGTTTCCTTCGACCAGGTTCAGAAAGCCGCTCGGCCTGAGGGAGCTGCATGGAGCGCAAATCCCTCAGCCAAAATAGAAACGAGAGCCAGGATGAAAAAAACTTCGGGAAAAGACTCCCAATAATGGGGAGAGGGGAAAAACTCCAGCAGCCCAGCAACCGAAGACACCTCTGCCACACCTCCCTCATGGACTGAATCCGCCGCTCGGTCTGAGAGAGCTGAGGGGAGCGCAGACACCGCGTCAAAAAACAACAACTTCGCGTGAGCAACGGACAGCCCAGTCCGCTTTCAAGCGCGCTGCTCTCCCATTGGCCAACCGTCCCTCCCTCGGACCAATCCCAGTGCCACCACAGGAGGCACGCGCCTCCGCGAAGAAGCGGTCCACCTAACGGGCGTGTGATTGGGTGGCTCGGCTGCCTGTCCTGGTCGTGGAGCTGGAGCCGGAAGCGGGAGCGCCTCTCTCAGAGCTTTGAGGGGCGACTGGCGTGGGTGGGTGCGGGGTGCGCAGCTGCGAGGAGAGGAGGGGCAGATTTCTGAGGGGAAATGTCTTCACCCGGCCGCTCTCTCTCTCACGCATGAATCTGAAGTGACTCCGGCTTGTGCCCCTTCCTTGCTGGATTCGCTCCAGGGCCTCTCACTGCAGATCCAGGGAGATCCAGCTCCAAAGGTTCAGGTCCCCTGACTCTCGGGGTGGGGTGGGGGGCCGAGGGCTGACTGAGGGCCCCTCCAAGCTGGAAGATGCTGATCCCTGTGAGTTGCTCTGCTGGATCTGGCCAAAGAAGCCTCTCTGAGCAGAGTGAAAAATATCCTCCTTCCTGAAATGGTTCTTTGGGGAAGGCTTGACAGGCAGGAGATTCCCAACATGAATAACAGTGTTGGCAGGGACCTTGGAGGTCTTCTAGTCCAACCCGCTGCTCAGGCAAGAAGCCCTATATCAGTGGTCCCCAACCTTTTGGGGTCCAGGGACCAGTTCTGCGGAGAGAGGTTTTTCCGCACACTGGAGGGCGCATGATTTCATGTACTGCCTACATCCCATGGATGTTCATTTCTTTGCATGACAGGTTTTTGGCATGTTGCGAACCAGTGCCAGTCCACGGACTCGGGGTTGGGCATCCCTGCCCTATACCATTTCAGACAAATGGTTGCCCAACCACTTCTTAAAATCCTCCAGTGTTGAAATACCCACAACTTCTGGAGACAAGTTGTTCTTCGTGAAATTTTTACTTTGTCCTAGGTTGCTTCTCTCCCTGATTCATTCCCATCCATTGCTTCTTGTCCTGCCTTCAGGTGCTTTGGAGAATAGGTTGACACACACACCCTTCTTTGTG